CGTCAGGTAAATAAAAGTGTTGTCCCAGCGATCGAATCTTCTTCTCAAACCTTCAATTTTCATATTTGTAAATTTGGCATGCTGTTTAGAACTGCCTCATATAGAGAGTAGGGGGCACGATAGAGTGAAACCGATAGAAAGGGAGAGAGACCGCAACATGGCAGCCGCCTGACCGAAATTGGGTTGAAAATTAGGTTTTCTTGTCAAACTGACGTTACTTCTTTGGTCTTTCGCTACTATCTAACGGCCAAGCCATGCTACGCCCTGAACCATCCAATCGCAGCCCAGGGCGAATGCGTCAGGGATGCATCAGCATGGGCCAACCGATCTTAGGTGTCAAGCTGCACTACTTTCATACCCTCGCACGGTCGACACACAGATAAGCCTTGCCTTTATTAGCGCATGCCCACCGCTAGTTAGCAAAATATCTGCAGTCTGCATACCAAACAAATTCTGGCCTGTTTCTGTCTTATATATCCTACTGTTCAGCGGGTCTTGATACTCATTATGATGGATTAGAGTAACCACATCCAGTGAACCCAATGCAGCCACAAGGACCGTGAACAGTTCTCAGCTTACTTTACATACACATGGCTTGGCCGCAAGACGACTGCAGAGCATACGCACTTGCCAACGGACCGGGCCGCCCAATATATTAGTGATTCAGTCACCTGTTGCATAGAGATCAACTGTTCTGCAAGTAATGGACGAGGTGGATATCAATAGACTTAATGGAAAAAGTGCACTTTCGAGTGCATGCTTTTGTAGTAGGGCTTCGTGAGCTGACATGACCTTCAACGCGCCTCAGAAACGCAACTGACAACTAATAGTGTGGACTTTTATGTCTTAGAAATGTTTAAAGGCATTGTCTCCCCAACAGAGGTCTGGACAAAACAAAAAACACAACGGGGAATGCATGGTACCTAAGCTAACTGCTGACGGTCTCTGCTTTCTTAAGACAGCATGATTGCTAGGTGGAGAAGCGCAGAAACGGCAGGCGTGGCACGCAATAATGGCACGTGATACAAGTCGTGCATTTCGATAGGCGGAGGTGTGTGTGGGGAGGGCGGTCATTAGCACGGGTTCAATATGAGAGTATTGCCAGTTTAAATACACATGCCAGCTCTGACCATGCCAACATAAAATAGGACACTGTACCAACCCAGTAAAAACTAGTTTGAAACCTGCCGGGAGGCTCACGAATGGCTCAATAGGTGAGCCATGTTTTTGATTCAGACTACCGAAACAAAGGACGCAAACGGAAAGAAAACTTGCACCGCCCTTGGAGAGCTCAAAGCAACATCCTCCCAAATTCGCGTTAAATCGTCTCCACTTGAGAACTCGTTGCGAATCCGAGAGATAGGTGGTTTGGGTAGATTTTTTGTTCGTAGGAGTTTGGGCTTTTCTTTAATCGTTAGTCACCAATATCGCGTATTATATACAGCTATCTACTTATTGGTAAATTGGTCGATCAAGTAGGTCAGCTTACTTAATGAAGATCCTTTGCGCTTAGTTGGCTCGAACAGTTGTGCTCGTGCGCGTATGGGTAACTATTAAGCGTGGCACATTGTGCGACGTGAAGGACTTGCGCTTAGAAAGAGATTCCAATGAGAAAATGGCCAAGAATGTTCTAAAAATAACCTCTGCATTCGAAAATGAACCCGATGCTCCGGCAAAGCCCCTCAGCTAAATACATGCGGCAGTAAGCCCACCCAATTTGCTTCCGTTCAACGTAGAGAAAGATGCTGTGTTACAGAAAGGCGATAGCACTGACCCCCC